ATTGAACGTTGTGATTGAGAAGATTGTCAGCACTATGCAAATGAGAAAGAGATGTGAAAGTGCATCTCATGCAAGTAATTTCTATGTAGATAATTTGCCATAAAAATTTATATTGCAGTCCTTAAAACCTTCAGAGATTTATTCTGTCTAGGGAAAGGTGATTTATATGGTATTAAAACACTTTTTATGTTCCAGTCCTTTAGATTTAATGTTTATTGCCTATAAAAATGAAATCTTCCTGTGGATATTTAAAAGTTTTGGTACTGTGTGAAATATATATTCAGCTTAGAATCTGAAATGCTTTAGAGATGCAGTAAATAAGTGATGGAGTGTTACCTCAGGTTCACCAGCCTCAGCAGTCCAGACTTACTCCAGGGCTGAATTCATTATGTAGATAGCATTGTGCTTACCTTAGACATATGGCAAAGGAGAGCATATAATGACGAAAGTAATGTGTAATTTTGTCATTCTTTTTTGGCTGAATATTTAGGGCACTTTGTATAAAGGTTTTTGAAGCTGAACTTGGACTGATGTGTATAGTCGGTATTAAAATGCAGAAGTAGGCTTATTCCTTACCCACAAAGGGCCGGATTAAAGCACAAGATTAGGGTACACTGCAGGAGTATCAAAAGAAGAAAAGGCATTCTGCATCGGTTCTCTAAATAGCTTCCACACATGGTAACGAAGGGAACAGGGCAAGGCAGTGCAGGACTGCTGTAGTCCCTGTGAATAGATGGGCAAGGAGGAGTCTGTGTTCTGGGTTTATTTCTAGTTTAATTGGTGGTTATTTTTGCTATCCCTATTAAAGTTTGGGCAGAAACACAGAAGAAACTGTACTTCTTTCAAAGCGTAATTCCTAACCTCATAGTGTAGGTCCCTCTCCCCTTCTATCCTGACAATTTTATAGAGCATAATCAATCTGTCTAGAAATGTATAAAATACAAAGCATGAAAAATACAGAAACAAATCAAGTGAGTTTTTACACAAAAATAAGAAAGTGTGTGTAGGTGGTTGTTTTGCCTTGTAACTTCTTTAATGGTGGTGGCCTGAAAAAGTAAATGACGTAACGTGCATTGCTTTTTCCCTAAAGTTTCTCATCGTTTCAGAGTTCATCCCATAGCAAACCTATGCAAGCTAAACTCTAAAGCATGTGTCCCACTGAGTACCGATACAGATCAAGGAAAGGTTGGCAAGTCCTTTTGAGATTTTTTTTCTTTTGTCTGCAACTGCAGAATCCTGTATATTGGTGCACGTGAAGCACAAAAATTAAAGATTGATTTATAGTCATCGAACTAATATAACCAGAGACATTGTGGGAAATAATTCTGGAGGCTTACAGATAATGCTTAATTTGCAGTGGTACATCAAATAGCATCTAGCAATCCCTTTCCAAATTATTCCCTCCTAATTAGGTATCTAATGTTACTGTGAGTGCCTGGACTGATTGTACTGGAGCCTGAAGTCCTGTCTCTGGCTGCAGCAGGCGTACAGCGCGTCGCAGCGGTGCAGGCTTTCTCACACTGCTCTGCGGCTCTGCCTCGTCCCCACATGGGAAGAGATGCAACTCGGATGTTGCAACATCAGGCAGCCAAGTGAATGGCACCAGTTCAAGGAGGAGCTTTGGTGAAACTTCCCAGGGTTGTAACTGTCTATGCCGTGGCACATGAAAGCCGAGGAAGTGTCCGAGTGTTGCAGCAAGAATAGTTAAGTCTGCATTAGTAAATGTAGCATTTGATGCAGCATGTTTAGCAACGGTGGCTTGTGCGTTGTTTAAATGGTGAAGCCAACCAGTTGTTCTCAAGACTGGGTGGGTAGGGGAGCTTGCAGGATGGGACAGACAACAAAAAATCCCAAAGCAATATCAGGATAAAACAACTTTTTTTTTTTTTAACCCCCCCCCTCCAATGGACAACAAAACCAAACAGCCCCCCACACACCTTTTTATTCTGGCCTGCATAAGAAATTTGGAAAGCCAGGATCATATTCTAAATGTCTTTTTCCTGGGTGATGTGAAAGAAGCGGAGAGGCAGAAAAGCAGAACAAACCTGTTGTGGGTTTAAGCAGAGTTTGACCTTTGCTTATAGGATTGTAGAAATACAATTTAGCTAAAGTTAACTGAAAAACACTGGCTGAAAAAATAATCAGGCTTCAGCTGAATGGTGGTTGTTCTTGGTTCCCTTATTGTTCAGGTTAACATCTCCAACATGAGATGACTACTGCATTTCAAAGTTTTTCTCCCCCAGTGCTGTTTCTGTGGATCCAGAGAATTTTTTGCAAGGTGTTTTCAGTGATCTGCTTTGGATGACGGTCTTCATAATGCAAAAATTAAACTCTGATATTTTTTTGTATACTGAAATACTGAACTCTGAAAAGCGTTAGAGGTTTTAGGCTCTCTGTGATGCTGCTGTTGAAGCAGATGTCTATAGATGTCTTTGTGTAGAAGAATTACTGTTTTATTTAGATTATCCTTTGTACTTACCAGCCAGATACACTGCCAAAAAACATCTCTAGCGGTCTGATAATTCTGTGGTTTTGTGAGGCTTCATATTTGTCCACTTGCTTCTTCTGCAGTAAGCTTAGTAGTTACGTATTCAGTTCATACCAGAATGCGTTTTCTTGTAAATACATAGATGTTCTTTAACTAGAACTCCCCCCCCTTATGTAGGATCCAAACTGAGAGGAAGAAAACCAGTCTCAAAGTGAAACTTTTATTGTTTGATGTAATGTGTAGCATGTTGTGTCATCTCAAAAGAGGCATTTTTGGATCAAACTTTCATATTATCAGGCCTAGGGCTTTATAGTATTTCATCAGTTTTCTCAACCAGAGTGCTTTCTGGCATTTGGATGAGGGTGCCCAACACTTGTCTACATATACGAAAGCTAAAATTTGGCTCTTCTTAAAGAGTGTCTAGATAAAGGATGGAGATACTAGAGGCAGTGAATCGTGAGAGTGAGTAGCTCAGAGGTAATCCAGCTATTTTTTTAGTTTGTCTGAAAAGCTCATGGGGATGGAGAATGGCGATAGCAACTTAAAACTGTTCACTAAAAACCTTTAGCTTGCTGCTGTAGGTCACAAATCTGAATGCTATTTTTGGTTCAAAAATGTGATGCTGATTAAATACATAATACAGATAGGAAATTATTCACGAGGACCTGACTCTTGTTCGTAAAGGACTTGGGATAACTCTGGATGTGGTTTCAGCCACAGCAAAAAAAAGCGGAGGTATTCCCACCGTATCGGAAAGTGTTGCTGTTTATTTCAATTTTCATATAGGGGAGGGGGAGAGAGGCGTGTGTATATATAGGGACTGAAAATCACTGTATGACAGAATGCCTTGAAAAGATACAAACTGAAATGATTTCTTGGTAAAGAGATCGCTTACTTCCCTAGTACATCATCCACCTCCCCAAATTGCCGGGAAGCAAAAATTACTGTATTGTAGATAACTATTTGTAGAGTTTCTTTCTGTGTGTGGGGAGGGAATGAAGTAATCTGTTCCATCAGCTTGTAAAACTGAACTAATTAACAGACAATCAGCATTGATTGAGACAGCTGCATTCTTTACTGAGGGATTGTAAACACAGAGTCTTCACAGAATTGTTTTTACTGCTCTAAAGTGCAAGAAATTGAAATTGTATTTGATAGCCAAAATTAAGGACTTTTTAGTGACAGTGTATCATAGCAAGGTTGACAGTGCCACTGCAGCTAAATCTGTTGTTTTCATTTTAGTGTGATTTGTCACAGTGAATAGTGGGGGAATTCTATAAATTATCACCAAAGAAGTTTTTCATGGCTAAAAAAGTGTGTTAGCTGTACTGTCTACCTCAGTTGTGTTCATGGAGCAAGCCGACGTTGGCTGTCTGTAGTCCAGTGCTCATCCTGCTAGGCATGCCTTTTACTGATTCTAAATGCCAGATTTGCAGTATTTTAAAAATATTTAATGTGTGCCTTTGTTAATGCATGATTTCTAGAAGGCCTTTGTAATAATTCCTGATACACAGTTTAGGGTGTTTTACTAGAAATGCTGATTTTAAAAATGGATGGTCCATGTTAAAAATACTGCACAGAGAATAGTACTTCTGGTTCTAAACTGGCTTGCAACATTATTAACATTAAGCATGTTATTTTTTGTTATATGCTGTTATGCATGCTGTCACCTCCAAGCCAGCCTCCTTGTGACTGTACATCAGCTAATTTTACTTCATGAGTCAATTCTGCTATTTTCCTTTTCATGTCACAGAAAATGAGCTTAACTAAGTACTGCAGTATGTTGTTGGGAAACACCTAGATAGAAAAGGCCTTCTGCATTCCACCGCCCCTGCCTCATGATTTCAGAAGTTCAGTGTAAAGTGTGATACTTACGCTGAACTGTAATCGTCCAGATAAATTATTAAAAACTATAAAAATTTTCTGAAAGGCTTCAAGATCTGGCGTTCTGTTTAATGGTCCAGAATATGTAATGCTTGCTATTGGTATTAAATGCCAGACGTACTTTTTACTGTTGTGTGTTGTCATGCCAAGCTGAGTCATTATTTGGGATTTAGGCCTGAAAGAATACTAAGAGGCCTAAATGGGACTTTATTTAGGTTTTTGCTACTACTAAAGAAAACGTTGCTTTCTTGTTTCCTATTTATATCTATATTTTTTTTAGAAAATATCCACCAATTGCATTTACAGGCAACTTCACAAAAAAGCTCTATTTTTCCCCATCATGGGAAAATGCATAAACCTTACAGCATGCCCAGAAAGTCAACAAACTCGGACCAAGGGAGGAAGCATGTTAGTCAGGAGTCAAGGACCGTTCTCTGAAAACGCTCTGCCAAATACTCTTCCTGCTTAAATTGTTTATCAAACAACAATTTCATTTGCCAGTAAGCTGCTTCTGATCTTGTTTTTGTTACCACTTATTTCTTAATACGAGTTCCCCATCCAGCTTCCTCTGCAAAATGCTGCGGTCCCTGTCCTGTGCCTGATGCCCCCCAGGCTGTGCAGCTGCGCCATGGACCAGGTATACAGCGCTTCTGCGGGGGGGGAAAGACCGTGGGTGAGGGAGCATGGCGGCATTTAAGCGTGTCCCTTGATCAGCAGTAAAAAGGGCAGGTGAAAGTAAGCCTACTAGAGGGGAGTCACTGGACGACATTTTCAAGATGTAGGGTAGTTTATTAATCTATTATACCACTTCTGCAATGCCCAAAAACATGAGGTCGTGTGTTAGTTCAAGTCCATGGTAAGTTTTTCCCATCCCTCAAGGAACTGCTTTGTTGGAATGTGGTTTTAAAAGTATTTTTAGGTTGCTTTTTCAGTGTGTATTTATACTTTTGTTGGTAAATATTTTATGTCTGAATGTTAGGAAACAGCTTAAGTAGCTTTCAGATTGGTGATTGCATTTGGAGACTGAAGGATTATTGAGCGGTTGTTGTGACGGGCTTTAGGGTGGACAGTTGGTCTGTCTGTAATGGTTAACCATGTTAAAAAAAAATCTAAAAATAAAATTAATAACACGTGTCGTCAAAGGAAAAATAATTGTGAATTTTTGTTCTAAATGACACTTAGTGTAGTTAGGGTTTGGGTGAAGTTAAATAAAACGTGAGCAACAAGTTTGTTTTCATTTAGAATAAAAACAAAACAAAAAAGCTTGAGGTTATTTTTTTTTAAACAGTAAGTTCCCAGAACTCACACTGAAACAAGACTATACAGTGTGTGTATATATAGTATTGATTTATTGGTGGCAACCTGTATAGCAAGTTATAAATCCTGGTCTGTGTTATAGTATGTGTCTTGCTTAAAGCACGGTCATGCTTCATTTACTAGCAAAGCTTAGGCTGAAAAGGGGAGTAACTAAATACTTTAAATGATGTAACAGAGCTTAGTTAAAGGGTTGAACTTTTTGTTATTTAAACCACTCTTTTAAGACTACATTTTTCTTTGATCTGTGGTCAAAAGAATTATTTAATGCAACTCATGAATCTGCTCTTACTTGGAAGCAAGACATTAGCTGAAGGTAGTGACGGTATTTTATTACAAAATGGCAGCGTAATCCCTTTCCACCTGAACACAGTGGCTGCTGCATTAGTGGCTTGAAACAAACGATAAGAGTAGTGCATTAAGTAGTTTGTAATTACTCATCAGTTAATTGTTTGGGTTTTGGTTTTGTTTTTTTTTTTTAATGGGCCAAAGCTCTTTTAAAAATTGTCTACAAAAAATGTGCTTTATGGGGCATGGTTGCTGTGCACCTCCTAGCTAAAACAGAATGATTTGCTGGTATCAGAAATGTGACTAGACTGTTGTGTTTTTTTCCTCGCCGTCCTTCCCACGTGCAGCTATTCCAGCCCCCGGCGCTGGCGTGCATGCGGGGAGGGCTGAGAAGGGGACTCGGGGAGACACCTCCTGCCCCGACCTGCTGCGCTCCTAAGGGCAGTGACAAAAGCGGAGGGGAGCGGGGAGGGCAGCGTGGCCCGAGTGGGACCCAGTGTGCTGTGATCTTGATAGTGTGGGTATTGCGTTCTCTGTTGCCAGTTAAAAGAAGGGGTGATTTGTCTGCTGTAGTGTGGTGAGAACTATGGTGAGTATGGCTGCTGGCGTTGTGTTTTGGTCAGCTTTTGATCAACTAATGAGATAAAAGGTCAAGCAGATGTATTTTACTTTGTGTCTTGCCTAGGCAAAGTCTTTGCAAGCAACAGTGGGTTTCCTTTGGCTTCCTGTAATTTATTTTATTTGGCAGAAGAAGATGTAGTTTGATTCCCCACCGCCCTGTAGCTGCTATGAAAGTCACAAATATTAAGCTGAGGCATTTTTTTGTTTCTTTCAAAGTCATTAACTAGTGTGTACGTGATTAGCTAACTTGATTTTTATCATGTAGAAAGCCATCAGCTGCATAGGACAGGGAAGCAGGAGTTGACATGGTTGTAATGCAGGTTGGGGTGTGACTTGCTGTGTGGCCAGGGGGACGATGGGTGAGCAGATTGCTCCGAGTTGGAGCAGTGCTTGCTGCTTTGCACTGTACACTTGCTATCTGTCTGAAATCCAGCCTTCTGGGAAGCCTCACTGCAGCGACATTTAAATTAATTCATTACTTTTTGGACTTTTCTGTTCTAGCTATTGAAGCAACTAGTTTGAACTTCTGCTTTAAAGTGGAAGAGTGTGAAAATTAATGTGTGGGAAGTCAGTGAAGTTGTAAGCAGTACCCCACCGGGATGGGAGCTGCAGCAGGGTGGTTGTGGACGTGCTGCGTTTTCAAAAATAAGGGAGCCCTCTCCCTAGCAAACACTTGCATTTACTTTTTAGGAAACTTACATCGTTTGAAAGTGTAATGAACTAAGATGCAAAACCTAGCAGAGTGTTAAGTAACTGATGGAGTAGGTTTGCTGAAGGGGGTTTGTTGGGGTTTTTTTGGCCAGGTATTGAAACCAAACTGCAAGGTCTTTGGGTGAGGTAATGGAAGGTGGTGGTTTTGTGATGCTGGCGGGACTGTGGTGTGGGTAGTAGAGCATCTGCGTGAGAGCGCCTTTTAAAAAGGCTTGGGGAGGAGCAGGCTTAGAGATGCAGAGAGCAGCGAGTGCTGCTGAGGTCTGGGTGACACCTTCCAGCTGGTTTTTAGTTTGCCCAACACTTCAGGCGAATGCTTACTGTTGTGTGGTAGTGATGAGGTGAAAGTAGACCTGGTGGGAACGAAGACAGAGATGACTAAGAGTCTGGTGTAGAAGCTGAGGAACATGAGGAGGAGGAGGAGAGAAGCTTTGGGGTTAGGGTTGAGGACACTATGAGTGCAACCTGAACTTCATTTCTGGAGAGAAGTCAGAGCGCATCGCGAGCGGTGCCGCTGTCACCAGCGGTGGAGACCCAGCCCGGGTGCTGCTCATCAGACCTGGGGCTTGTGAAGGCGTTCTTCAGCCCTGAATGCACGTGGTTTTGAGGAGGGTGGAAAGAAGGAATAAATAATGTCGGAAGATGAAAACTACCTTTTGGAACAAATAGGCAATGTTTCATTATTTTCCTGAGTGAGAGGAAAAGCTTGTTAAATAGATCCTACATTAAATAGATCCTTTGGCATTATGGTCTTTATAGCTCTGGACAGTCTCCTGTTCTTTGCATTTTCTAAAAAGTTTTGAATTCAAGGTGCAGAAGAAAAGACAGGCATAATATTGTGTAGGCTGTGGCACTGGCAGTCTTTTCCCCTCGTAGTGCATTTGTTGCTGGCGTAGATATTTATGCGGCTGGTTTATGCTGATAATAGCTCCTTTTGAAAAGCCTGTACTAGCATTCCCCTCTTGCAAGATTTTTTGATAGGCTTTCCCTACGTTTGTGGTAGTGGCTGGTGTTATTGTGAACAGACAAAGCCACAACACTTTTTTTACTTTCTCCTTTTGTTTTTTTAAGAGCCTGTTAGTTAAGTTATCTTATTGATAGCCGCATCGGCACCTCCGGTTTTGTTCTCTCTTTGCTTAATGGGGTGGCCACCACACACGTTGACTCACTGTCCAAAAGCATTGTATAGGGCACAAAATTTGTTCCAGTTAAAGCTTGTTTAAAAACCTACTTGGAGTCAAATTACTTGAGTATGCGGAAATAAAATGTGTTTTTTGACATTTCCTAACTAATTCTGTGTTTGGAAGGTAGTTGCATCAGTTTGCCAAATGGCAAAATGCTTCTTAAGAAACGTGTTTTGTTTAATGCTTATGGCTTTTGATTTTTTTTTTCTCCAGGAGAGTAAAAAGCAGGTATTCTGATCTTTGCTTTGTTATTTGTTCGTCATTCACTGCTGATTTGTAAGGCAGGGGAACAGTGGTTCTTGGTGTTGCACTCTTGTTGAACTCTCTGATCTTTCCTTTTGCTTGTGTTAAAAAGGGGCTTTACAGAGAGGCAGACACGAACTAATTTTACAGAAAAGAAACTTCTTGCATTGTTGCATTCTTACGTATGTTTTACCTTTCTGAGCGCTTTCAGATTGGAATTGGTGCTTGCTTTTTACAGTCAAAATAGCCATTAACAAAAATTCCCAATGTCAGCTTTGTGGTTACTTCCCTGGTCATGATCTAGAGCTTTATCAAGTGAGCATGCCTGTTTGTTTTTCCGGAGAAACACATCAAGCTCGCAAAGCAGTTCATCATTTCTGAAATATTTCTGAAATACTTACGTAATCAGTACGTAGGCTTCTGAACAGGTGAAAACTATGGGGTTTTTAAGATTGAAGGGTAGATTGCCTAATAGATCAGTTAGGGAAATGTAAAATTTCCCCAAGACAAGTAGGCTCTGCATATGCAGTTGTGCCAGACACTTGTACATTGGTGTCATCGTTGCACTGAGAAATTTCCCTTTAATAGGAATTTAAAAATTGCAAAAAGCTGCATTGAGAGCTTTGATAGACTGACAAATGCAATCCTGAGAGAGGATGAAAACAAAAATGAGACTACTGAAAACTCCTTTCAGTAGCAGATTATCATGTAGACTGGGTAACTGATTGAAACGATGATAAAGGGAAATACCTTAAATACACAGAAGCAAGATTTCAGGGGAAATGGTTACTACTACATTTACTGGTAGAAAATTCCTAATCTACATGCAGTTGTGATTTGTGTCTATCCTTGTAACGAGTAAAACAAGGTTTATGGTGAAAATGTGCTGTTAACATCTGCAGCCTAGCTTAAGGCTTTTGAAGGCATAGCCTAGGCATTGTGTCCCTGACTAGAAGTCTACCAGAAAAAAGTCAGGCTGTCTTAAAGTTGTAATACATGTTTCTTGCTCCAGTGTAAGAGCTTTGTGGTAAATGCAGAAGGGATTAAGCATTTTAAAATGGGAGAATAACAAAATTTTGGGATACAGTTACATCACAGTACTTGCAGATGATTATTACATAACTTTTTATAACTTTTTCCATGTGAAACATAGAAATACCGGTTCCAAACAGAGATTGAATACTAGTTATGATAGATTATGTTGGAGCGACCTTTGGGGGGATTGGGATGCTGAAGCGAGTTGGTTTCTTGGATCCCAAAATACCTGTGCTGGGCAGTGGCTGTAGCTGTTAGAAATGGGTGTCTGAGATGCATGGTCAGCCATGGTGAGTGTTAGGGCAGAGAAGGGTATCGGTGAGAGCTCGACGTATGGATGGAGTTGGCTGGAGCATAGAGAAACGCTGGTTTGTATTATTTATTCCAGTCACACTATGAATAAAAAGAAAGCACAGCTATGGAGAAATGGAGTGAGTGTCTGTCCTCAACACCCTCGTGTTCAGACAGCTTCTCTCGGGGCCGCCTCTTGCTGCCAGGAGGGGATGGGGACCTGCACAGTCTCTGCCTCTGTCGCACCTTTTCAGACCAGAGGTGATGAGTCTAATGTTGCTGTTGCCTCTCTTCCCTCCTGCTGATGGAGATACATCGCAGAGTCACATACACCTTTCCCACCATCGTGCTCCCAAATTCACATTTCTATATATCCTTTCTGCTTATCCCCTGTTTCTTTCCACAGTGTCCCTAAAGCAGAGGGTGCTGCTCTTGCCCCTGGCTTTGGTTTTCACACAAATTCTTCTTTTTAGTCCAGTTTCACTCACATAAGCAGAGCAGGACAGGAGTGAGCAGCCTTGGCACCATGGGGTTCTCTTCTGCTTATATAGTCTCATTTTCTTCCACCTTTTGGATGGGGGAACAGAAACTTCATAAATATCCAAGAAAGCCCAATTTCTTTCTAGAATCACTTTCCCAAGTGAGTAGTTTTTGGACAGCCCATGGGACTCAACTTTGAGAGATGCCAGCCAGCCGCTCTTAGGGCTCGGGCGGCAGAAGGGCTGGTTTGAAGCTTCCTGTTATAAAAAGGGAAGGAGGACTTTCGGTGTGCTAAACCGGTCAGTTGTCAGAGTGGTGCAGACCTGCTGGCAAGGTGATTATCAAGGTATGCATCTTGTAGGGAAAGAGGTGTCAGCCGTAAAAGAAAACAACCTTGAAACCTGCCTGCAATGAGGCTGGAGTTTCATAATTACTTGGGGTCAACCTAATTGCATGTTGGTGCCGAAAGCGGGGATTCCACCAGCCTCCCTCCCTCCAGCTGTGGTTTCCCACCTCCCCTTTGTAATGGTACGACACCTTGTAGCTGCAGTGGGGGCCTGAACAGGGAACCGATTCAGTGCAACAAAAGTTCGGGGGGAAAGGTGGGATATTGGTTTTCAGCAGGCTTGCTCTCCTGCTGTGGCCCCCTGCACAGCCATGTTGTCATGGTCTGTGGCACGGGGGTGACAGAGGCAGAATGAAGAGGGATGGCTCCTGGGGAGCCTAAAAGAGGCTAGAAATACTTGCATTAAAGGAAGACAAATTCACTTCTAAGTTGGTTGTAGTTACAGTGGATAGCAGATTGACCCTCCTAGTTTAAGATACTTTTTTTTATATATATTGCATGAAAGAAACCTTTTAATGTTGTTTTCTGAGGATTGCTTTTGATGACTCCTGCACTTAAGAGCATAAGACTTTCTTGTCTCCTCTCTTCCCACTGCCTCCCTCCCACCCCCAATAAATTTGTTGAAATGGGTCAAAGTAGAAACCCTGGAGAGAGTTCTTTAGTTGTCTGTGGCTTAAGCAGTGTGAACTGTGTCTGCCCTAAATCTATGGGACTTTGGGGCAAGGGGAAAGATAATGGTCTTGCTTGTTCTCTCTCAAAATGTGCTCCAAGCAGCGACTCACTTTTTGCAGGAGTGATTGAATGGTGGCTATTTTTGGCCAGAAAGTTTATTAGCCAATGTTGAATCAGTGGAACTAAAGCTTCCAGGCTTTGAATCCTTTCTGTAGGCAGTTCACCACTGCAACACCTTTGAGCCCTGGATTCTGTTTGCTTTTCATTGGAACCTTTTTGATTTCAAAGGTGTGGAGAATGATACTGAGACACGGTCTCCTGTTTTTGTTATGCTTTAAAGGACGTTCCAATATGCTTCTGTCTGTACAGTATTACATCTCCTTTTACTTAATATCTCCTTAGTGGTTGCAAGACTTGGGAAGCGTGTATACCTTTGAGTGTTATACAGTACTCAGGTTTGAAATCTCAAAGTTAATACTACTTACCCCTTAATAAGTGCTTGCTTGCAGAAAGAATGCATTGGCCACATTGAATTTGTACAAAAATTGGGGTATCTCATGAGATCAAGTCACAAAAGTATGAAAAATCTTCCGTTAATCCTGTATCTATTAGTATGTTTAAATAAATAAAACTTGTAGTGTACATGGCTGAGATCAAGTAAGGAAGTAAAAAAAATAGTGATTTTCCAAATAGTTTTGATTTGGGGCTTGTTAACTATGACATAGCTTGAAGATTTAACATCTCATTTTATATCAGATCTTGTATATGGAGCTAGATATCTCCTGTTTCTCCTCTGGAATTGCATCTTACTATATCTGTTGTTTGTAAATGCTGGGTAAGATCTTGAGCTTTTGGGCTTCAGCCCACAGCGTCAAACAGTTCAGTGTAGTTGCATGATGGCATTTCTCCCTGATGATGTCTGTACCTGAGATGGCACATAAGGACATGTTTTGCGGTGAGAAATTATCATACCTGTCCCAGAAGGAATTCTGAAAGTAATGGGAAGGTGCCCGTAGTAAGTGCATTGGGGCGCTGGTGTCAATCAAGCAGTGAGGGCGAGAAGGTTATTCTTCATTTGCTACCTGACTCTTCATAATAGCACAATATATGAAATATGATTTATTTTTTAATCAGATCTTTTTTTTTTTTGTTTCTAAATTTGGAAGTATAGGTCTTTAAAAGTCTACTTTTCCATTTGTAAAGTTGCTTGCTAGCACTCTATATTGTATAACAGAGTATTTGATTCTTTGGTCTACTGAAATTCCCTCTTACTTCATGATTTGTGTTTTCTTTACTTTGCTTTAAATGTGTGCTTCCTTTTTAAATATAGTTTTCCAAGTTGCTGGCCGTACCAGATTGTTTATATTTTTTAAAAGCCTTCTGCTTAGCCGTTATATTGCTCTTTATAGTACTGCTTAACCACATTGGTTTCTGTTGCTCTTTTTTCTTGCATAAACTTAGCTGGGATGAATTTCAAATGTGGTTTATCCAACTGTTAAGTATTTCCCACTTTTCTGCAATAGATTTCACATATGTTACAGGATTCCAAACCAAGATCTGGTGGACATATTGCCCTGTTTTTTTCCTCAAAGTCAGAAATAGAGGGTTTTTTAAGCATTACAGTGACAATATTTAGGTCGCTGGCTCCAGCATGCTGCCTAGCTTCAAATCCATTTGTCATATTTAGCTTATTTCCAAGGATTAAGATAACTATGGTCCATATATTTATTAGAAAAAAAAAAGTCTCTTAATTTTGTGGTAATAAACCTAAAGGGGGAAAAAAGTATTGATCCTTTTGAGTTGGAAACTGCAGAAGGCTTTTTTTTTTTTTTCCCTCCAGAGGTCAAACTGTGGAGTCACATAAAACACACGTACATCCATCGTGTGTTTTATTCACAGTTACATTCACAGTTACAGGATTCACCAATACAAAAGTGTAACTAAGAATTTGGAATTAGGCTTTTTCACAGAGTATCTAGAAAAAAATTCAGGAGCTGAATTACGTTTTACTTTTTACCTGTTAGTCCTGTACGTTCTTTTTTTAAACTTGCAGAACAGGGTTTTTAGCAGGTTGTCCCATAGGTACCTGCTGTCTGTTGCTATTTCTAACACCTCTGCAAAAATAAGAAGAGGCAAATCTTTGTTTTCCCGTTTTTGTTTCCCCATACTGGGTGCCCAGTTCCACTGGGAAGTATATATGACCCCGACGCATGGTAAAGTTTTTATGCTAACCATCTAGTAGTAACCAGATCTGCTTTACTTTTACCCTGGTTTCTGTGTGTGGTGGTATCAAGAGGTGACCTGGTCAGTGACTTGACCAACTACTGGGGATCTGGAATTAGACCCAACAGGAGGTCCCAGGCTTGGTTTTTTTGGTCTGGTCTGTTACAGGTTGTTGAATTATGAACAAATGCCAGTGGCACAGCAGGTTTTCTGGTGCTTAAATGGCAAAAGAGCATTGCAGTGGCAGTACAGAATTGTATACAGGGTGTCATTTGAAATTAAGAGTGACTGAAGCGTAACCAGTCTAGGCTGAAGTATAAGGTTAACCAATATTTGAGTTGATCAGAATTTTTTTTCATAGAGTAACTCAAAAAGGGAAAATCCAGTATCTTTAAAAAGCAGGCAGGTGAAAATAAACCTGGCTTGAACATGTCCAAGACCTGTAATCTTCACTGGATTTGGGAAACTATTAGGAGGTGTGTATTGCATGCCATTGCTGCTATCCTCTGTAATGTTGTGGTAAAGCCATGAATGCTTTTGAGAAAAACGGTGATGTTTTGGTTGCAAGATGGAATAAAAAAGGCTGTAGAACTTCATTTGATGTTATTTTAGGAGGTCCAATTTCTGGAAGCTTGATGCTTTGTTCTGTACTGCTCCGTAGTCCAGCCGTCTCGATATTCCAAATTGCATGATGTACATATGAGCTTTTGTTTTTATTTCTGTGAGGAGCTAAGCTCTAACGATAGTTCCTTTTTTTTTTTATTTGTTTTTCTTGACAGAGAGAGCTCGATACCACAGCAACAATATTGGCTAACCGGCAAGATGAAAGTGAGCAGTCTAGGAAAAAACTTATTGAGCAAAGTCGCGAGTTCAAGAAAAACACTCCAGAGGTAAGGAGAAAAGCTATTCCAGTGTTGAGTTTCTTGCAGTAGTATATGGTATTAAGCCTACTGAAATATTTTTTTTTTTTTTCCTCTTAATGGTTTGTTTCCATGATTTTCTCGCATGTATTGCTAAGTCCACCATCTTAACTAAGACTGCTTATTTTTGATGGCTTTCTCTTCAGGCAGTTTTTGCGTTCTGTAAATAATGACATATGAATTGACATTTCTAGAGGAAGTATGAACATTAGCCTTCAAACAGGCTTACTCTAAATTTTGTAATAATGTAAAATCTGGAGAATTGCAAAAAAAATTTCTTCACTAACCCAAACTCCCTTAGCACTTGGCTGTAGAAAGTGACATTTCACTGCCTAAATAAATCTATATCAAGGGCATAACTTCAAAGATGCTCATTTTCCCATCAAAAATCAAATTAAGTTTTGCTGTTGATTTCAGCGGAAACGCGACAAGGTCAGTGCTGAGCTCTTTAGAAAACTCCACTTGGAGGATGTGTGTCGCGCGCTGCAGGTGGTGTGTGAAAGGTGTCAGGACCGATGCTAGGCAAACCTCGGAAAGGTGAATACTGTGCGTAGGAAGCTGGGAGTATTTAAAGTCTTGCATGCCCATGTTAGCATGTGCAGTGTGTGTGTCTGTGTACACATATGCAGAATTGTATAGAAAATATATATAAACTGATTTTATTAACTGTAATGAATGCATAGCAATGTGTAGGGCTTGTTTGTTTTTGTTTTGTGGTGTTTTTTTTTCCCCTTACCCCGATGATTGCCAGCAATTCGTTCATCCAGAAATGTTCTAGGGTTTCAAAGCCCGTTCCAGATAACTGATACACAAGTATCGGTTCCTTCCAAGTATCTTCCTGGGAGAGAAGCAGCAGGCAGCTTTTCTAACCTTTACTGCTGCCTCTCAAGTAGCAGATGCTGCTTTGCTTCCTGTTGGCACACAGGGAGAGATGCTGGAGGAGCCTGACCCAGAGAGGGGAGAGGGAATGTCGGAGCAGGAGTGACTTATGGGGAAGGGGGGGTGTTTAACTGACACCCTGAGGAGGCTTTGCGGGGCAGAAATCGGTTCTCTCTGTTTTAAAAAGAGAAAATTTGGGGACTGCAGCTTTGAAGGAACAGGACTTTATAAAGGATCAAAAGAATATGGAGAGTGAATGCAGTAGCTCTGAGAGGGTGAGGAATGAGTTGATTCCCTTTGCAGGAGAGAGCAAACTGTTGGGAAGAAGAGGAGGAAGGAGAGAAGTGAAAGAATATGGAGGGTATAGGAAATAGCACAAAATCCAGAAATTAGACAGACTTCTGAGGCCACATTTTCAAATTGTTTGCTAGAAACTTGAGTTCGTTCTACAAGACTTACTTGACTTTCCTGCTTCCTTCCTTTTTTTCCTATAAGGAAAATGACGGATTCTTCAGAATGTGGCTATAGCTGCCAGCTCGTAGCTGACAGCGTGTTTGCAGATGTGTTTCAGGATGATTTCTTTTGGCCAATTTTATTTTTGTGGAGCAGAAGGTTACTGTGGGGGGAACACACACACACACACCCCACCACCACCCCCCAAACACTGCACTTTTAAGTGTGTTGTGAGAGGGCCTTGGTAACTCAGTGGGAGTTGATGTGCAGAGGAAAATTATATACTCTGTAGAGTTACTTCAAGAGATATAGTGGGAAAACAATATGCGATTAGCTCTTTCCAGTAAACAAGATAGTGAAGTGAATGGCCCCCTCTGTTAAATCATTTGACGGTAAGGTTTTAAATATACTTTTGTAAAATACAATTCTGTAGCCTTCCATATAATATTTTTGAAGAGAATAGAGGTGTTTCATTCAAGGACTAGGTTCAAAACAATGGCTCTGAACATCCCCAGTGTTTGGGGAAATTTGGATCTGTGCTAGATTCTACATCCTGATCTTGTGTCCTGGGACTCCTATGGCACCACGTTCCTTTATAAGCTTGCATGGATTTTTTTTTAATACTCTTTCTTTCTCCGTCTTCTCTGCTGCAGCTTTGCTTCTGAACAGCAACACAATCTTAACGCCTCTTCTGCTTACTCTGACAGAATTAAAAAGTGAAAATGGGATCAAAGAATTAGAAGAAAGTATCTGAACTGTAATAACAGCCAGCTGTAACAGACTTGCAGTTATTGCTCCCAGAGGCATGGAGGAAGTAGCTCAGATGCCCAAGGTCTGATAGGGCCACCGTCTCCTCTCCTGTCCAAGGTGCTTGGTGTGGTAGACATGGGCAAGGCATGTGTAAGAGGCAAAAACCGAGTGAGGCAGTGTCCAACCGTCCTTGCTGGAAAACTTCACTGGTACTCCTCTTTACACAAAAGTTTAAGCTTGTGCACTGCTGTGTTCATCTTCAGGTGTTTTCTGCACTCCCCCAAAAGAAGGGAAGTCTGTGAATACGTCCAAAACTGTCTAAGCTTTGAGAAGACAGTTGAAAATTAGAAGGCAGGATTATTAACTACTCGACCTGTTTTTTTCCAAAACTGCAACTTTTGTCTGAAAACCTACCCAATATGGCGAAAACATCCTTGAGGTGGACAGGAAACGCAGAGTGAGCCACTGGCATTTCCAAACTGATACATTTATGTTACTAAAACACCAAACATGCTCCTTTTAGTAACAAAAAAGAGTTCCGTAGTAGATGACCAGCTTGCATGCAGAACCGTTCTTCAGATAAATAAGTAACCCAGTGTACAGCTTAATTTAAATTTCCACGATGAAGTAACATCTTTCTTGTTACAAAAAAACCCAAAACCACAAAGATGGAATTGTTAAATGTAACAGTTTGTTTCAGAATTCTACTTTCCATTTTCTTTTTCATTCTGCATGCATCCCTGTCAGTGCAGTAGCGGTTTAGCCTGTTCCAGCATCTCTTTTCCTCTGCTGTAGCCAGTCTCGCCATAAATCAGGAGACAAATGTCGATTGCCTTGACTTTCCTATCCATTGCTGTCTGGGATGTCCTCTAGACTTTCCATAATGTCTGCTTGCAAGCAGTCTCCTGTGTAGCAGAAAAGGATTCAAAAAATTACTAATGAAGTTGAGGATATTTATACTTCTGTTTCTTTTTACTTTAAAATATGTGACAGATCTATTTGGGTCATTTCTGCCTTCCTTGCAAATTACCAAACTGCTGCAAAAGATACAATGTTTTCATGTTTATAGGAATGACTCTAGGGCTTTTGGTATTTAAAAATGTTAAAATACTATTTCTGACTTGGCATACTGGGAGATGACTCTGGGAAGAAGTATCTTGTGTTTGGGAACCTTATGAGAACAGAAGATTCAGTGGTGGTTGTTACAGACAGAAAGTTTCGGAAAGGGTTCTTAATTCCTGTTATTCCAAAAATACTTCTTACTTCCCCACACCTTTTAAGAGGTCATATCAGACCTGCTGCTCATAGATGTTTTGGGGTATTTTCAGTCTCAATTTGTTTCATCCTGAGCAGCTACTGCAGAAGGCTGAGACTGGTCAGGAGATTACTTGAAACATCAATTTTACGTGACTGTTACTTGGAAGACATCTCAAAATACATCATATGAATTGCTACCCTGCATCAGATTATTATTTTCTTATAGTGATAATTCCTGAACTGTTGTGACTAACTGTGACACTTTTTGGGTATTTTAACCTCTATGAAATTCTTGGTCTAATTCATCACATCCTCATATGCCGATTCTGGTGTGAATAAGCAAATGCTTGAATGACCATCTTTGAGAATTACTTTTTTCTTTTAGTCTAAATAATTTCAGTTGCACAGGTTAATAAGTTTTGGCACAAAGTGAAGATACTTCCTAATGTTGATACCTTTGCCTTCGTTTCTACCCAGATTCCTAGCTGAGTAACTACTTTTACTTACCTGTTTCTGTTTTAAACATTGAAAAGCTTAGCTAATACTTCCAGTGGTGCATACTTTTAAGCTGTCAACAACAATAGTGGAAAATATCAGAAAACAAATAACTGAGTAAGCCTAGACTTTGTAAATAAGTAATACGTAATTGTTAAATACTCACAGAGAGGGAAGACAATAATACTTAAGCCTGTTTAACCTGTAACTCTCCATTGCTTTTCTTTACGATTTAGCCATGTAAACTAGATATTTGCTGAGCTATGTCGGTTATTACCGGGCTCACCTGAAATGTGGGTCATTAAACTGAGCACAAGACAAAAGACCAGCCTGAGAGGTCTGGGCCGGCTGCTCTTGGGAAATAAATTAGATACTAGTTTTCTAATGTGAGAACATGAGCTCTAAAAAATCAGGCAGATGTGACACACCTGCATAAAGCATATATTTGGATACCCTGTGAGCTTGTTACTTTGGCCACTGTTTTTTTTCCCTGATGGTAAGTTGGACTGATGATTCCTCGCTGTTGTTGCCCCTTACTGTTTCTAGGCTGCGAATGTACTCTATTGGTGAGGTTTAGAAAGTCAAGGTTACCTTTAAACGCTCAAATTGACATCTGTATTTTGTAACGCAAATTAAAGATTGGATCGGCAGAGTTATGGAAGGACATGGGAGAACCTTTAAACATAGATATAGACAGCATAAGTATGTTCTCAAATAAGTATTTTTAAAATGCCCTGGAAAATGGAATATTGGAAGGTGCCAGAAAACACAATAAATGAGTATATGAAAAGCATGCCTTAACGCTGACTGACTGGACGTGGCTGCCTGCTGACCCCGAGCACTTCTATAAATAAATAAATGCGAGTTCTGCATGTGACAGCGATGTTGCCACTGAGGACCACCCAGCACTGCGCTGTTGTGCCTGTTCCCGTCAGCTCGCGTGTGTCTGTTAGTAGAAGTTGCCACGGCCACTTTCAATGCGCTTCCACTGTATGTATCATTTTACATGACCAATTCTGTGCTGTCTTGCTTGGTACCTAACGAGTGACATTCACCTGCCCAGGTAAAACCTGGCTTTCATTGTTGCCCTTGTTACCTGAACCATTGCCGTCGGCCCCGGCCTGCTCGGTTATGTT